GAAATGTGTTATAACAACTCACCATATTCGAGTATCAAGGTGAAAGTCATCAATGGGAGAGCTATTGAAGGTCTTGTGGAACTCGGTGTGGCCGAGTATCATGGAGAGTTACCTATAGTGGAGGCATTTACGGCGGAAAGACTCAACATTTGGAATCTAGTGAGGGATTCTTTGGAACGGGCTCAACAAAGGCAAACCAAGTACGCGAACCAAAGCGCCGGAATGTAGGGTTCCAAGTTGGAGAGAAGGTGTGGCTAAACACCAAGAACCTTAGGCTACCAAGTGGGATCAGCCGAAAGTTGACCCAAAGGTAAAAATACATGTATTCCTGTAAATGAATTGATCTTGAGTTCCTTAAGCAGGTTTACGGGGCCTTACGAGATTGAGGCACAAATCGGTAAAGTGGCTTACCATCTCCAACTTCCTCGAGAGATGGGGAAGATGCACCCAGTGTTCCACGTGAACTTACTCAAGCCATACTTTGAAGATCCGCTTCACAAGGACCAAGTAAGACCTTTACCTGAGGTTATCCAAGGGGAAGAGGATACGAAGTCGAGCCCATCCTCAATGCGCGCAAGAGCAAGCGACAAGGACGCGAGGTGAGGGAGTTCCATGTGAAGTGGAAAGGATTTCCACTCTGCGAAGCAACATGGGAACCGAAAGAGAACCTAGTGAACACACGAGATCTAGTGGAGGAATTTCTGCAAGGCAGAACACTATGTACTTATGCAAAGTTCAATTAAAGTATTAATTTGTGAAGTTGAGCAAGGCACGCCCAAAGTAAGCTAATTAGCATGGGTTAGCTAGGTCAACCAGGTGTAGAGAACTATGCTTGACTCCCCGCGGGGATGTCGAATCCATAAATGTATTCTATGGAGGTTGGGTTCGAGTCCCAACCCCCTAGTAAAGCAAGGCTGGGTTTAAGTCCCAACCCCATACTAGGGCATGGTGGGGTGAGGGGTATAAGGACACCTATAGTCCGTTGTCATGGGCTCTTAGCCGGGGAGGCTAATTTAGGCACACCGCTAAGTGGGGGAATGCCCCTGAAAACATGGTGAACAAGTCGTAGGATAAAAAAGAGATGTTCGATATGGGCATTGAACTTCTTCTATGGGTGGTGGAATTGTAAGGAACTAACTCCCCGAGGTGTTGTAGGTTAAAGGATCCCCGAAAGCATGACCGAAATGACAAAGAATTCATCGGATGAGACTGAGTCGAAGATCAAGTCCAAGACCGACTTTGAGACCGAGTTTGAGATAGAGTCCAGGATTGAGTCCAAGGCCAAATCGGAGACCGAGTTTGAGACCGAGTTCGAGATAGAGTCTGAGATCTAAATTGGGTCTGAGACCAAGTCTGAGGTCGAGTCCGAAGTCAAGTCCGAGATCAGGTCTGAGATCGAGTCCAAGACCGAGTCCGAAGTCAGGTCTGAGATCAAGTCCAAGATCGAGTCCGAGATCGAGTCCAAGACCGCGTCCGAGTACTAATATGGGTCAAGGGGTGAAAGCCCAAAGCGTGCTTCTCCTAGGAGGGGGGGGGGCTGCAGGGGGTTCCAAAAATATAGTAGGGATAGTGAGGTCCAGGAACCAGTCTTGAAGGAATTCTCCAATGGTGCTTCCAAACTGACTTGAGGTTGAGACTGGGGCCAAGGGACCTTGGGTGGGAGTGAGCATGGACTTGGGTGGTGCCAGAGGGGCCACCCAGGGAAGCGCTCAAGAGCAACTCCCACTCTCGAAAGGGAAGCCGATTGCGGTGCTCCCAACTCATGTGGACTGGTGCCCCACTTGAGTACCTTGTGACTCATTGGTCCTCACCCTTCCTAGGGGCTTGGGCCTTCCCTTCGGGATAGAAGTTGGGGGGTATAGGTACCCATACCAGGCCGTTAGGCCACGGTGTTTCGCCCCAATGCCCCGAAGCAAGTGTTGCACCCAAGGCTTGGGATTTAGAGGATCCCAAGATCAAGTCTTGTTGTACCAAGGGATGTTAGAAACTTGGAGGCTTGGTGTGCTTGGCTGCTTGTGCCTGCGGGGAGTGTAGCCGAACCTTAAATCCAGTCTAACCTGGGGAGGGGGATTAGGAGAGATTTGGGAATCCATGGATGGATGGCTAATGCCCTGTTGCTCGTGTAGTAAGTAATTAAAACCAAGTAGGACTAAGTAGGAGCTGGTACAATAAGTGGGAACCTTGGTGAGGGAACTTAGCAAAAGCCAAGGCAGCATTGGTCAAATAAACGAGGTAAGCTGGCAAATTGGAAGGGAAAAATTTGTGGCTTACACATTTGGAAAAGTCTCACTCACAACCTCTATTTTGAACTTGGGGACTTGTTAGCCCCGTGAATAGCACTTATACCACTCAGCCTTTGCACTTAGTCCAAGTGCTCCACGTGTTCAATCCCATGACCGACACCCAAAGGTACCACTAATATATCAGCCCGTTACACTAAGGCCATGCTTATTCACCCTTGTCACATTGGTAGTCCAAGACCACCTACATTACAGTCTTGTCTTTCAAATATTAGGCCATCCGTCCATATATATGTATATGTATGTGTATGTATGTGTGTAAATGTATATATACATATATATATATATATATATATATATATATATATATATATATATATATATATATATATATATATATAT